AGATTAAGGAGAAGAAGGAGAAGAAGGAGAAGAAGAAGAAGAAGAAGAAGAAGAAGAAGAGGAGGAGGAGGAGGAGGAGGAGGAGGAGGAGGAGGAGGAGAATCCAGAAACAAGGATTCATTGGTTTCAACAAAGAATGGAGTAACAGCTGAAGTAGGCTGTGATGTGTGTGTGTGTGTGTGTGTGTGTGTGTGTACGTGCACACTGGAGCATCATGTTTTTAGGGTGTGCGTGCTTAGCTGAAAGTGAGCAGGGCCCCACCGAGCACAGGGACAGAGGGGGAGCAAGAGCGGTGGGTCCTCCTGAAGGACAGGAGACGTGGATCTAGGGCTCCTTGGAGAGACAGGCCTTGCTACTCGCAGCAGTATTTCTTCCTCAGAGATGGAGAAGGAAGAAGATGTCTGACAGTACAGTTGACATTTCATATGGGGAGCAGAAAAGTATTCGCTTTGTTCTGTTCTTTCTCGAAGATTCTGGGCTGTCTCTGACTGTACCTCGGACTACTTCAGACCCCAGACCACACCTTCAATAGACAGGAAAGCATGCCTGTCTTTTAACCTCTGCCACAATTCTTTGTCTATTTAAACCCAAAGCTCATGTCTGTACCCTGAAGGTGGTGGACGATGGGGTGAAGCGTTTAATTTGCCTCTTTCTAAGGCTTCCTGATCGTGCCATGTAATTCATTTCCTTTCTCTGCCTCTCAAAAATAAATAAATAAAGCAAGCAAGACTCTGTGTTATCTGCAGAGGTAGGAAGAAGAAGGGGTCTTGGGCCTGGGGATAGAGTCTGCAGTGGGATAAATTCGTGATGGGAGGAGCCAACGGGGCGTGTCAAAGGTGGCGGGAGGCTGGCGTGGGTCCTGTGGGGCAGAGATGGAAATTCATACCAGCAGTGAGCAGCAAGGTGGCGTGATTTCCAGGAGGCTCATGTGGTGCTGGGGTCTGCAGAGCACAGGATGGCTGTGCGGCTGGGCTTCTCTGGGGCCTCTGCCCTGTGGGACGGGCTCCTCAAAGTGATGCTCGGGTGTTGGAGGACAGGTTCTAGTGAGTAGACATCTGTGTACATCCATCGCTTCACCGCTCCCTGACTCTAAGAAAGCCAGCAATCTGACATCGGTTTTATTTACTTATTTTTGAGACAGGGTCATATTGTCTTGCCCTACGCTGGCCTCAAACTCATGATCCTCCTGAGTGCTGGGATTACAGGCATGCACCACCACACTGGGTCAAATGAGACATTAGATAAGGGGGCTGGACTGCAGGTGCAGACATAATTCTGGAAAATGAAGTCAGGCCTAGGCGTTCAGCGCACTCCATGGCTTTTGAATCCAATCATTAAACAACAAAACAACTATTTGGATTGAAAAAGGGAAAGATGGCCTGAAATCCCAATAAATGTATCAGCCACGAGCCCAGAAGCGCATGGAACTCTGTGTGCAGCCCAGCAGGTCATGGGTGCCAGGAGAGTCTCTGGCAACGTTATGTATTACGGGACGCTTCGGCCATTGTACCTTCCAGCATCAGGTCTGAGTGTCTTTTGCAGAATCCTGGATGGCCCAGTGAGATGAGATAAATGTCCATCTCACAAGCTGTGTCTCACTGGTGTGAGGCCCACGCGCTTCCTCCGGCTCTCCTGCTTGTCATTTCCCAGGTCTCCCTCCGTGTGGGGCCCCTCCTGGCTGCACTTCACCCCAGCCTTGAAGCCTTCGGGCTGAGCCAGCTCCAGAGCCCAGGAGGAGACATCACCCGCCTCCGAACCCCTGCAGCGTCCCCAACAGCTCTGGAAGGGAGGGATAAAGGTGAAGGCGTGTCCCAGTCACGTGAAGTGTCCTGCTTTCTTTGTTTCTCTCCCCTGACTGAATTCAAGTCAGAAGGGTGCTTGCAAAGATGAGGAAACTGTGGTGGAGGGGGGCAGGCAGGAGGCCCCAGGATTCATCATCTTCATTTACGTTTCCTATGTGCCCGGACCCTTAGACATTTCTACACTCGGGCTCTGCTCACAAGTTCAGGGGCGGGGGTAGATAGGGGACACATGGTGACTCTTTGTGGCCCAAAGCAGAAGGGACCAAAAAAAAAATAATAAATAATAATAGTAAAATAATAATAATAGTAAAAATTCCTCACCAAGACGCCTTCCAACTCTTTGTGCATGGTGGATCAGAACATGACACTTCCCAAAACCAAGTGTCTGAGTGATTCCTCCTCCCTTTGAGATTTTCTTTGGACCATTTCCAAGTGCTCCCGTGCCCCCTTCCTGGATAACCCCATCTTTGGTGGCTGGCTGCTCCCTTCTGCAGCAGACTCCCATCTCCGCACAGCCTCTGCCCCTCTGCCTCACTGCCTGTGTGTGTCCCCGCTCAGGCGGGGCACCTGCCTTTCTGGGACAGCTGCCACGTGGGATGTGGCGGCTTCCTCATCCTGTGCCTGTTTCTGGACAGAGAAAAGAAGTGGGTGAGAAGCAGGCTCCTCTCCTACAGCCTCCAGCTGCTGCCTGACCGCGGCACCTGCGTGGGCCGGGGGGCGTCGTACAGCTTGCTGCCGCACCACAGTGAACAGGAACAGCCTGCAGTCCCTCCAGCCCCCAGCCTCCTGCATGATGGCCTCAGCTGAAACTCAGAACCGTCACAGAGCACGCAGAAAGTCAGCCATGGCCTGCCCCTCTGTAACATGCTGAAGAAGTCTTAGGCTAGCGTCCCCTGGCAACTTGGGGCTATGACCCGGTTTCCTGGTTCACAGCCCAGCAAAGGCCGGCCCTGGACTGCAGCTGTTGGGGTGGAGAGCTGGCCCTGGGTGGGGCAGGAGGCCGAGAGAGACTTCCACTGCCTCCAAGACTTTTCACAGTTAGAACTAGGCAATGCTTTGGAAACAGAAAGGTAGGACTTGAACGGAGTCCGTGAGGAACAGGAAGTTCATATGTTAGCCCCAAGGACATCTTTCTACCTTGAGCTGGTTAGGGAGAACACAAGATTAGCTTTGATTCTTTCTTTCCCTTCCTTCCTTCCTTCCTTCCTTCCCTCCCTCCCTCCCTCTATCCCTCCCTCTCTTCCTTCCTTCCTTCCTTCCCTCCCTCCCTCCCTCCATCTCTCCTTCCCTCCCTCCCTCCCTCCCTTCCTTTCTTTCTCCCTTCCTTCCTTCCTTTCATTGTAAAGCTTGAACTCAGGGCCTGGGCGCTGTCCTTGAGCCTCTTTGTACTCAAGGCTAGTGCTCTACCACTTGAGTCCCAGAGCCACTTCCAGATTTTGAGTGGTTCTGGAGATAAAAATCTCATAGGACTTCTCCCTGAGCCAGCTTTGAACAGCGATCCTCAGATCTCAGCCACCGGGGTGGCTAGAATGACGGGTGTGAGTCACCTGCACCCAGTGAAGGTGAGCTTCTTTAGGGGGAGAGGGGGAGAAATGAGGGTGAAGGCTGCGCCTGGAGGCTGGCGCCTGCTGGAAAGTGGGGTGAAGGTAGAGGAGTCCGTGGGTGAGGAGTCTGAGGGATACAGCTGGGGGAATGCCAGCCTCCACCCAGGTGGGAAACAACAGCTCCTTCGCCTCTTAGTCAAAGACACACGACAAAGCATGATGGTTTCAATAAAAAGCTGGAAAACAGAACACTCTGACTTTGTTCAGAATCTTGCTTTCTAATAAAACATGATACCAGTTTGAAGTGATTTTTTTTAAATTATTAAATCCTGTTACTTTTTTGTACATTTTCGATTGTAGAAATGGTACCTTTTTTGAGAATTCAAAATCTGAAATGCTAAGAAAATTCAATAAAATTAAAGAAAACAAGAGCTTATTCCTCTCAACAGGAAATTATTTTGTATGTGTGCCTACACACAGAGCTCCTTACATTTATCAAAACACATATGTGTACCATAATCCTAATCAAAAGAAAATATTGAAGGAACACTTTCAACAACAAAAACAAAAAAATCCGTTGTCTATCATACAAAGAAATACCACAAGCTCACAGGAAGAGACAGGCTCACCTCAAAGACATGGTTAAGGGGTAATGAGAACTGGTCTTGGCAAGAGCACAAGGTCCTGAGTTCACACCCGGGTAGCAGTGTACACACACGCACACACACAAGGGTGAGAAGGAACTCAGGGCTGGTCCACCACTGTGTCCTGCACTCTCCATCCCAAACTTTCCCCTGGTTCTGACTACTGCTACCTCCTCCAAGTGATCCAGACTGACCATGACAGTCCTATTTCAAGATCCTGAACATTTTCTTTTTCTTTTTTGTCAGTCATGGGGCTTGAACTCTGGACCTGGGCACTGCCCCTGAGCTCTTCAGCTCAAGGCAAGCACTGTACCACTTGAGCCACAGCACTACTTCTGGTTTTTTGGTGGTTTGTTGGAAATAGGGGTCTCACAGACTTCCCTGCACCAGCTGGCTTTGAACCGTGTTCCTAATAGCTCAGCCCCCTGACTAGCCAAGATTACAGGCGTGAGACACCAGCACCCATTTTCTAAGGAGAATGTCCTCAAAAGGACAGGGTGCCTGTTTGTCTATCTGCAGCATTTGACCTACAACATGAGTGAACAAATGAACAGATGAATGAATGAATGGATGAATGAGCCCAGCAGGCTTCTCGGGCCCTGAGTCTCCACCCTGCTGGAGAGGGCTGCGTGAGAGCATGGCACACACGCATTGGAAGGACACACTTTGTAACTGAGAACGTGCTAGCCAGAGCTCAGCTTCAGCCCACCCATGCCTGTGGGGCCGTGGGCTGCCCTTGGCTTCCCCTGTGAGTCTGGGTCCCGCACGCCATCTTCTCTCTCCTCGTTCCTCAGATTTGCTCTTTAGCCTGCCCCCCCCTTTAAAGGAATCATGTGAATTCAAACGCACACAGCTCTTAGTATTGCTCCATCCTTTAAAAATATGAATTCTAAATTTCACTGAATATTTTTCTCTTGATTTTCCCTTCCAGTTATTTTTCTGAAGGAAGTGTTGGTGAGAAGCATAGGAGCTACAAATGATCAAGAGTTCATTTTTGGATTCTATAGACAAATCAGTGTTTAAAGAGGTAAGAAGAAATGCTATTAGAAGAATAGAAGATATTAGTAGCAGGAATCTATATCATATCTAAAAAGTCATAAAATTGGTTTCTGTTTTTTCTTTGATGCCGGTGCTGGGGCTTGAACTCAGGGCCTGGGCACTGTCCCTGAGCTTCTTTTGCTCAAGGCCAACACTTTACCACTTGAGCCACAGCACCACTTCGGGCTTTTTCTGTTTATGAGGAATCGATTCCAGGGTTTCATGCATGTAAGGTAAGCACTCTATCACTGAGCCACCTTCCCCAATCCCACTACTGTCTTTTTGATGGTTAATTGGAGATAAGAGTTTTATAGGCTTTCCTGCCCAGGCTGGCTTTAAACTGTAATCCTCAGATCTCAGTCTCCTGAGGAGCTAGGATCACAGTATGAGCCACTGATGCTTGGCCTCCTTCTACTGTTACTGCTGCTGCTGCTGCTGCTGCTGCTGCTACTACTACTACTATTACTACTACTATTATTTTGCCAGTCCTGGGGCCTGAACTCAGGGCCTGGGCACTGTCCCTGAGCTGATTTTGCTCAAGGCTAGTACTCTACCACTTGAGCCCACAGCTCCACTTTGAGCTTTTTCTGTTTATGTGGTGCTGAGGAATGGAACCCAGGGTTTCATGCATGCAAGGCAAGCACTCTACCACTAAGCCACATTCCCAGACCACAAGGAGCATTTTAAGCAAATGTAGAT